CCTCCAAAATTACAATAGAAGGAGCAGAACGACATTAGCATATCCTGACCACTTGCTTAGGATGGTGTCAGGCTGTCTCAATATCAAAAGGCTAGGCGACCACCTTCTGTGTGGGAGGTTCAAATTGTGCCTTGCCAGGTTGCTCAGAAATCTGACTACCATACAGTGTAGGAATATGGGCCTGTATAATCCGGCCCCCACAGAACACGAGGCATGCATGTGGATGCACATATATACCATGCAGTCAAAACACTCACACAGAAAAAAAAAAAACTTAAAACTTAATACTTTCTTTGAACATACTATGATATTGGGACATACCCACTGATATTTAAAAATCACTGGTTCAGTGCTGCTGAGATGGTTCAAAGGGCAAGAGCACAAGCCTGAGTTTGACCCTAAGAACCCACATCAAAGTGAGGGACTGTGTAGGCAGACTTTCTTTCCAACCTACTAGTTCCCCAATAACCAACTTGGAGTCTTACACTAATTACAAATGCTTAGCCAAGAGCTCAGGCCTATTACTAGCTCTTAAAAATTTAAATTAACCAGTATTTCTTATTTACCCTCTGCTAATGTTAGCACCTCCTTTCAACGCAGCACATTCATCTCTCTTGCTTCTCTCTGCATCCCTCCTGATTATTCCAACTTCTTCCCAGGATCCTCTCTGCCTCCAAAACCCTGCCTAGCAATTGGTCAATCAGCTTTTTATTAACAATCAGAGCAACACATTTTCACAGTGTACAGGATTCTTCCACAGGAGGACCGACTCCACAAAGTTTCACATATGATGTTGTGTTATGCACATGCATCACACAAAAATAAAAAAAAAATCACTGATCCATGTGAGATTAAACTTTCAATGAACATGCCCAAGTTTGAAGAAATATTTCCTAAAGCCACACTCAGAGAATTCAGGCAGCATTCTGCTCACAGCAAAAGCCTGTCCCTGAATACAACTAATAAACCTGGGGTAGTGGCTCATCCAGGTAAGCTAGAATTCAGATCAGTTTGTAGACAAATAATCAAGACCATTAATCAGTACACATGGTACAAAGAGCCCTCTTAGCAGGACAAAGATCTTCATTGCTTCATAGTGCAAACCAGGGTAAAACAGGAGGGGGACTATCAAATTTAGTCTTTTCAAGTGGTCTCTTTCTCTCCTCACCCCCTCTCTCTGGTTTTTCGAGACAGGGTTTCTCTGTGTAACAGTCCTAGCTGTCCTTGAATGAGTCTTTTTTTTAAATATTTATTTATTTATTATGTATACAATATTCTGTCTGCGTGTATGCCTGCAGGCCAGAAGAGGGCACCAGATCTCATTACAGATGGTTGTGAGCCACCATGTGGTTGCTGGGAATTGAACTCAGGACCTTTG